TGGTGCTGCATGCCCCCACATCAAAGCCCACCCCAGCGGCCCCATCTCCTGTTCTGCCACTGGCAAAGGTGGCCAGGGGGTGATGTGGGGGTGCCCTCAGCAGCATGGCTGGGCTGCTGGGAAGCATGCCTGCCAGTGAGTGGAGGACACCCACAAATGTATAGGGTAGCAACAACAACCTCCCTTCACCTTTTGCCCATTGGGGACCTGTGCTCTGTGTGGGCATTGAGGCAGCTGTGGGTACCCATGGGGTGGACAGCTCAAACCCCCTCCCCACTGTCAGGTGCCCAAGACTGCTGATGGGAGTTAGTCCTTTTAAGGGGGTGGGGCGTGAGCTGCTAACAATGAACAAAACTCCTGTGGTCCGCCCCCTCCACCCTTGCCTGTGACAGGTGCTGGACTTCGCCCCCTTGACACATGTCCCCTGATTGGTTTTGGCTGCCCTATCCATCACAGTGCCACTATCTCTGTGCAATGTCTCCACTGACTGCAGCAGTACAGTTGCTATGGAATCTACTTGTTAAACTCAGAAAGCCCCACAAACCAACCTAATTTGTCTGCTGGCTGCTGCGTAATTTATTCCTATAGGGAATGGACTAGCGATGCCACAGTTACACTGCGGTCAGCCACCACAGCACAGGTGCAGCAGAGGATTTCTCTGCCCATCTTTTTGTATGGTTTGTAACAATGAAACAGGCTTTTACCAGATGGCTGACACCTCATCCAAGATGCAACCTCAGCAGAGGAGTGCAGGAAGAGAACTGTAACCATGAACGTTGTCTGCAGAATCTTGATGATGGTTGTGATACCACCACCACCACCTACTACAGGCCGTTTTCTTATCCTTATTCACTTTCTCCAGGACCTGACTGGTAAAGGTAGGGAAACAGAGGGGGAGGGGCAGGGGGGGCGGGGGGGGGGGGGGGGTGTGGGGGGGGAGTGTGAGGAGGAGGAGGAGGAGATTGGATTTATACCCCACCCATCACTCAGAGTGGCTCACACTCCTTTCCCTTCCCCTCCCCACAACAGACACCCTGTGAGGTAGGTGGGGCTGAGAGAGCTCTTTCAAGAACTGCCCTTTCAAGGACAGCTCTTGTCAGAACTATGGCTTGCCCAAGGTCATCCAGCAGCTGCAAGTGGAGGAGTGGGGAATCAAACCCGGTTCTCCCAGATTAGAGTCTGCACACTTAATCACTACACCAAACTGGCTCTTTCACCATACATGAGATGGAATACAGCCTTGCACCGTGACTTACGGTATATCTGTGGCCTAACAGTTAGATGGACTGTCAACTTCATGCTGAACCATGTTGATTTGCTGCTTGGTTGAGTTAATGACTTTATCCTGAAAGGTTTTTATGTGTTTCTTTTGTCCTCGGGAGAGAAACCGTAGCACCACTCTAAGTTGGTCCCCACAGGTGCTACTGATACCTGGACATGCATGCCTGAATTAGACTGAAAGGGAGCTGGTTGAATGTAACTAGTTTCCATCCTTCCTCTGTGTACTGTTCCAGAGAACAGACCTACACTTTAATCTTTTTTTAAACCTAAGTTTGAGAGAAGCCAAAACAACAACAAAAAAGCATGTTTTTTTTTTTCTTTTAGGATAAACACAAAGCTACTAACAGCAAGGTAGTCAGAAGAGGAGTCAGTGGGAAGGATATTGTCCCTCAGAGCAGGCGCAGTCTCATGCTTCAACATAAGGGACTGGAGTGCCAACTTTAGGCCTAGAACTCTCGAACTTTACAGAGCTGCCTCTGTGCCAGTATAGAATTCCTATATGTGGGACTGAACTGAGATCACAAAGAACAAGTAGGAATGAAATCAACACACTTTAATAACTATGTAAAATTCTGTACAACATTTGTGCACCAGATCATCTTTACAAAGTTATCTTTCACCCATAATGATTATGGCATTCAGTATGGATACTCAGCAATTTTTAAATCTCTTCAAAGACTGATCAATTAAAATGATAGTACCACTTGTGAATAAATGCTTGCATTTATTGAAGTATAGGTGTTACTTGCCTTGGCTACCCAACTGAAATACTGAATCCAAAGCACCATGTGCAAGCAAGCATTATATGTCTATCTCCCAATTTTACCTGGCAACATAAACCAATTGTCTGCTCACATTTTCAAGGGTCAAATATCCCAGGTATACAAATGCCAGTGCCCAGGTATTTATTAGTCTTTTCCCTTGTCTTACAAGAATGGTGGGATCCATCTCTTTTCAATGAAAACAAATTGCCAGCAAGAAAGAAATCTTAATAGCAGCCCGAACAACCCAATTTATCATTAACTGATACCAGCATATAACAGTTAGCAGCCTGAGCTGACAACATATTGAAATTCTGTTTCAGCCAGGAGTGCTTCTGACCATATTAAAATGTGAGAACCAAGCCAAAAGCATGGTACTATTTGGTGAACTGACTATAACTGAGTTGTAACAGAACTGCAGAGACCAATGGAGTTATCCCAACACGTTGAAGTTCTTATTCTTCCTTTATAATATTACTAGAAATAATGCCCGTTGCAGAAATAAATACAACGAGATCTAGAAAGAGGCTCTGGGAGAGTGCTCTGGCTTTGGGCAAACAGTGTCAGTTTCCTGTGGTGACCCCAGCAGGGTTTAATGACAGAGTCCACTGTTTTCTCCAGAGGGACTGATCTCTGCTACCTGAAGAGCATTTGTATGTTTGAGTTATCTGTAGCCCTCACCTGGAGAGTGGTAACCATTGTTACCCATTCTCCACTCCCCTATGAGGTATGTTATGCAACTGAAAATCCCAACTGCCTTGCGGGGGGGGGGGAGTTTGAGGTGTGGAATGGACTGAAGTCCAATCAGCTTCCATATGCAAAAGACCAGGTTGTCGCAGCAGTTGTGGTGTGGGCGGGACCCGGGCTTGCTTTCTGATTGGTGGCGATATATGCTGAGGAGCAGTGCCATCAGCCATACACTAAGGGAGTGCATTTTAGAATTAGAACTTTGGCACCCACTATTCAATTATATATAAGGAGAGATTAACATATTTATATACCCTTCTGTTTAAAACTAAATACTCAACTCAGTTTACCATACAGCATCAAAAGCTTACAAGTAACAGGGGCATGGTTTAACTTAAAAAGCCTTCTGGAATTGAAAAAAAGTTTTTAGCTGACTCTACAAAGTCTTTAAAGAAGGAAGTATCCGCAGTGCAAGGCAAGTTCCAAAGAGCAGGGGAGTTGTCAAGAAAGCCCTTGTGGGTTTCCACCGATCAAATTTCTACAGAGAAGGCTCCCACAATTAGGATTCCCTGGCCAGACTAAGAACACAGGTCAGACCCAAGCCTTTAAGGTCAATGTCAACACTTTGCATTGGGCACAGAAGCACATTGGCTGCCAGTGCTACCAGCACAAGACGAGAATAATGTGCTTACTGTAGCCAGCCCTTGTAAGTACTCTGACCACTGCATTCTGAACCAGTTAGGGCTTCCAAACTGTCTCCAAAGTCAACACCACAGATGTTACAGTGGCCAAGTACCCTTTTATAGAAAAGTCTGGAGCTACAGAATCAAGCTAAGGTAGAAAAAACATACTTGTGGCCAGTGTTCCCTCTAAGCTGAGTTAGTGTGAGCTAGCTCACAGTTTTTGAGCCTCTGGCTCACACATTTTTGTCTTGGCTCAGGAAGGATGGCTCCAGAGCAAACTAGTTTATCCAGCAGCCAAATCTCTTGCTCACAACTTTAATGCCAGTAGCTCACAAAGTAGAATTTTTGCTCACAAGAGTCCACAGCTTAGAGGGAACATTGCTTGTGGCTTCCCCTGTCAGCTCCAGTGGATAGTAATATGCCCTTAACTGCATCAACAAAGTTGCCAGTGACTTGTACAGCTGAGAATACTATGAATAGTGGCTTGGATCCTGTGGAAAATTTCCACTAATGAGAAAGGGGCACTTTTAACTGATTTCCCACTCCTGCTGCAGAGCTCCAATGCCTCTTTCATACTGGGAATCCCCTCCCCTAGAAGCAGTATACTGGGGATCATTTTGGGCTGCAGCAGGAGGGGGAAGGTGCCCCATGTCACTAATGGAAAGCACTTCCATTGGTGGAGATTTAGCACGGGACCTAAGCCAGTAGCAATCTTTGCAGCAAATGTCTATCTGCATAGCAACTGGAAGACAATGGAACATTACTACCAACTGTGCTGGTTATAAAATGGTAATTTAAGACCACTACAGAACTCAACTGAAGCACAGTAGACTCAGTCTGCATCGCTGCAGGAGCAACACTTGTACAGGGTTCCCATGTACAATGCAAACTCAACATTTGCCATGGTACTATGCAAGCAAAATGATAGCATGACAAACCGAAGGAGCAGAACAGTGGAGACACAAGCTATACATTTGTTGTTCCTGTTCTTTCTGAGTGACAGACCTCAGATATAAAATGTGTTACAAGTCATGTTGACTTGCAATAAACAAACCATGGAATTTTTAAAGAACAAATTCCAGCTCTGTGGTACGACTTGCAGAAAACATCTAATTTTCAAAAAGCTAAGCCTAATATCTAACACAAACAAAAGGGGGATGCTTAGTGCTGCAGTAAGGAGAAAGAATGACCTCTAGTTCCAAATCAACCAAGTAAAGATAATTCAGCATACATTCCTGGGGGCAAAAATTAAAGGATGATTATACACAACAATTTTGGATTGATGTTTCAGCAGAATGATCAAAATTTGCTTTTTCTAAGCAAATCAATTGATGTTGGGAGTGCTCAAACCCATTTTTCTCCATTCCAATTCCTTAAACCAGTCAAAAATACACATAAGGCACTCGGTGTAATTCTTAACACATGTGGTTGCATTTCAAACTGAACTATCACATGTAACAACTGATTTATTTTTAATCATGGCTTACCATGCAATATTTTTTACATCTGCAAACTGGCCATAGCTGTAACTGGATATATATGCAAACTCTAGGAGGAAAAACAACCACTGAAAATAAAAAAATCTTACCTCTTCTGTATAAGCCTTTCCAATTCCATCAGTAGCTCCCGTGATAACTACAAAATGAGAGAAGAAACAAAATGTCAGTTTGCTTTAGATTCTACAGCTTAAGTTGCAACATAGCAACTATATGTAGTAAATAGGGTCACTGCAGTACTCATGCTCTGCCATTAATAAAAGTGTCTTGACAGGATATGTCAGTTATCACCTGTATGTTTTGAGACACTGTGGAAGTATAAAAGCTTACGTAAACATCCCACCCTTACAACATCATTGTAAGGGAGGCCACTTCTAATTTTCACCCCAATGCAAGTATTACGCTGACTCAGCATTCCTGCTTTTAAATAACACGGTAACCTTTCAATCAGTCTTCAAAGACTGGTGTGATTAAATTAGTACTTTAGAAGCACCAAAATTGGAAGCAATCACTGCAAAGGAGTCTGATGTACTACTGTTACAAGTCACCATTCAAACAGTCTCAAAAGAACCTGTAAGGATTTGCTAAGCACTAAAACAGGAACCTAACACATCCTGAAGCTTCAGAAAGCCATGAAACCTATTAGCACCACCTCAGAAAAGACAAGCTGTTCCAGAAATGCTTGTATGCACCCTCTACACTATCCTGCTTCTCTACTCAACAAATGTGAGCAAAGTAAATGGAGAAACGGACCAATTTCTACAATCTTTCCAACAGTCTCCATCTAATGATAGCTTCAAAAGTTCCCGTTGGTTTCTAATCAACCTCTGTACTACAAAAGATTTGAAAGAGGATGGGTGGAATCAGCCTGCAGTTTGTGAACAGAAAAAATATGCTGCAATTTGTAGATGTTGGGGACAATGCACCAAATAAGGAATACGTGGAATCTAATACTGGGACAAATTAGTCCAGAAAGATTTAATTTAATTAGAGTTGGAAGAATCTATGTGCTAAATTGGGTTAAACTCATTATTTACCAGAGCATCCAGAAATACATCCTCCATCACTATGTTTTAATCTAAGGATGTACATTGTTTTACTTTAAGGAGGATGTTCTCAAAGTTACTTGATTGCTCCACTCTACAACCTACACACCCAATAGAGCTACATACAACCAAACAACAATTTCAGAGCATTCATTCAACTGCGGCCTAATCAATATTATTTGTTTATTTATTATTGGACTTCTAGCCCACCCTACCCCACAAGCAAGCCCAGGCGGGTTACATCAATATACAACAAGCCAATTAAAAACCTAATTAACAGTTTAAAATCAATCTCAATTTATACTCGTAAGACATTATCAATGGCACCAAAATTCATCTGCTCCCGGGGCTCCCTGTGTGTACAGGAAGGTGTAACTAAAGTTGAGGGGGCCGGGCAGACAAGACTGTGCAAAATGAGAATAAGGCAGATGGAATAGTCAGAGCTGGGGGAGGCCAGTATAATTTGGGTCTCCACTGCCTCAACCATAGGCCTGGTGGAACCTCTCCGTTCTACAGGCCCTGCGAAACTGCACCAAGTCCCACAGGGCCCAGATCTCATTTGGGAGACTGTTCCACCAGGCCACCGCCAGAGCTGAAAAAGCTCTGGCTATGGTCAAGGCTAGGCGGACATCCTTCATGCCGGGGACCACCAGTAGATGTTGGTCCAGAGCATAATACTCTCTGGGGGCTGTATTGGGAGAGACAATCCTGAAGGAATGCTGGTCCCAGACTGCTTAGGGCTTTAAAGGTCAGAACCAGCACCTATTAACTAGAGATATTCATTACTATGGATTAATTAATGCAGAATACAAAGACATAACATTTTAAGTGGCTAAAAAGCTTCTTTCTTTTTCCTTGGCTAAATGCTGACCAATTACCAGCCTACATCCAACTATTTTTCATATTTCTATAACTCACACTGTTTAGCTCATCTTGCCAGAAATACATTCATATACTGCCTTTCTTAACTTCCCATTTGTAGACACAATTGCTGCAAGAGTGGTGGCAGTCACTCCTTAACACTTGTGCTTCTATCACTACCAGGGAATCATTTAGGAGTCAGGGCTATAATTTCAAGTTTTTACCTGCATCATTATTCTAGACAGACAAGGAACCATTTTCACACATGGAAGCCTTGAGTACCAATACAGAGAACAAAAAAAATGGATTAGTTTGTAAAAGACACCAAAATTAGGGGCAGTTCCAAATCGGTACAAGATGAAGGGAGGGGCCAGGAAACTCATCTCTCTCTTCCTTTAGGTAATGCGAGACACAAATCAGATCCCATTATGTCATCCTACTAATGCCTGTAACTAAATGCAGTTTTCAGCAGAATATCAGTCAAAATATCCAAATGTTAAAGTATGCAACAGAAAGACATACTAAATCGGTATGAAAAAAAAAGATTCATGTTCCCACTACTGAACACTGTGAAAGCTGAACAAAAGTCATTCTTGCCTGTGGAGAGAACAGAACTGGAAAGAACAGTCTATTCCTGCTTGACATTGAGGCAAGTCTCATTTAATCGAGATTATATAAAACACTGGCATTTGACCAATCCTTTCCTCCAAGACTACCTGCAGCTCATAAAAGTATTTAACTTGTGCTGGTTAAAAATACTCTATTTTGTGTTTTTAGCTTGCTGAAAACTTATTTTTAGTAACAGCCCAATCAACCTTATCAAAATCATATATCAAAAATAGACCATAGAAACACTTGAAGCAAATGCTATTTTTAGCTGCTCTGTCTATTCTCTGCTGTTACCCACTAAACGGAGTGCTTAGTTATTCTGGGCAGGTTCTCCTCATGACCCACGCCCCCCCCCCCGAACACCTGAATGCAGAAAACACTCAATTGATTAAAGATTAATACTGCCGCAAACTGTGACAGCTGCCTTTTGTCTGAGAGCTTTTGGGAAGGGAGGAGTATATGGAATGACAGAGAGCTTGCATCAGTGTTCCTCTTGGGATCTATTACATGGAAGGAAAATTGCTATTTCAATTCCCTTTTGTTGCTAAAAATAGCAGCCCCAATTGATTCAAGCAAACAGGGCACCAGCTTAGCATTGCCAAATTTAGAATCCACTGAAGTCCCTAGAAGTAAACGTTAATGCAGTCTAACAGATGCCAACTCATATTTTAACAAGAACAAAGAAGATAACCATGCAGAGTCTGCAAGTTAATAAGACAGCAGCAACATAAAACATTTTCCTTAACAGACAATAAGGCAAATATAAGTCCTGATTTTTCACTCAACACTTCAAATTTTGCCTATTCTCACCTACGCAAATCATGAAAAGGAACTTAGACACATTACTATGACACAGAATAGGCACATAATGTAATGACTGTCTTTGGCATTCAGATAGTGAAAAGGGTTAAATTCCCAAAGGCAGCCAGCTACCTATGTGCTCAGCAGTGCAATGTGTACAGTACCACGTAGACCAGAGTGTTATAGATCATTTAACAAACATCACAGTAGGTATAAGAAACACTACAATATAGTCCCCTTAGCAACAGAATATAGTAAATGACAAAAACAGCATTCAATTAGAAAAACCCATTCTATGATGAAAGAAAACTTTATGTGGATTTTAAAAAATTAAAACGCAACAGGAACACATTTAAAAAACCTTGTCCTACTAATAAAATTTGACAAATGCCATATGTACTTCAGGACTCGTACAACTACGACACACTTACTTGATTATATACTCTCGTGTTCATAAGTTACTCATCCTTAAGAATATTAAAACCAGCAGTTATCCCGAGAAATGGTTTGGTTCAAGATTCATTCTCAACAATTTAAGATCTAGGTACTGAAGCATGTCCTATTTCCAAATTCATTATCCTCTTCTCCAAACAAACTATGGATGAACTGCTCTGTTTTTGGAGAAAAGGTGAGGTACCAGAAGACTGGAGGTGGGCAAATGTTGTCCCTATCTTCAAGGGGGAAAAGGAGAATACAGGTAACTACCGACCATCAGCTTGACATGTATACCTAGAAAGGTTTTAGAACAAATCATCAGTCAGTCAGTCCTTGAGCATTTACAAAGGATGACTGTGATTACTAAGAGCCAGCATGAGTTCCCCAAGAACAAGCCATGTCAGACTAACCTTATTTCCTTTTCTGAGAGAGTTACTACCTTGCTGGATCAGGCAAATGCTGTAGTTTATCTTGATTTCAGTAAGGCTTTTGATAAGTTTCCATATGACATTCTTGTTCACAAGTTGCTTAAATGTGGTTTGGTGCCTATTACTGTCAGGTGAATTTATAACTGATTAACTGGCCACAGTGGCTAAGAGGTTAAGAAGCTGAGCTGCAGACGGGAAAGGTCTGTAATTCGGCAGTTCAAGATCCTAGTGCCACGTGACAGAGTGAGCTCCTGTCTCTGGCCCCAGATCCTGCTGACCTATCAGTTCAAAAGCAAGAAATTGCAAGTAGATAAATAGGTACCCCGCTTTGGTGGGAAGGTAACAACGTTCCGTGGTCCTCAGCGTTTAGTCATGCTGGCCACATGACCACAGAAAACGTCTTCAGACACCACTAGCTCTTCAGCTTTGAAACAGAGGAGCACCGCCCCCTAGAGTCGGATTTGACTAGCTTTCCAGCAAGGGAAACCTTTACCTTTTTAACGGATTGCACCCAACGAGTACTTGTTAATGGTTCCTCAGCCTCTTGGAGAGGAGTGACAAGCTTCAGGCATCTTTCCTGGGCCCCTTGTTCAACATCTCATTAAATTTGCAGATGATAGTAAATACTGTGATGATACTAGGACAGAATCAAGATACAGGATGATCCTGACAGGCTGGAAAACTGGGCTAAAGCTAACATAATGAATGCTAACAGAGATAAGGGTAAAGTTCCACATTTCGTTAGGAAAAATCAAATGCATAATTATAGGATGAGGAAGACTTACTTTGGCAGTAGTAGGATAATGGAGCTGGAAGGGGCCATATAGGCCGTCTAGTCCAAACTATGGGTATGCATTCAGCATAAACCAAGATGAAAAAAATACCTGAAAAACACCTTACTGTTATTTTTCAGGTATTATTTAAGCTGAATATAGATTCAGAGAATCTGATCAGCTACT